CATAGATAAAAATTATCAAGAATGTGATCCACCAAGACCATGCATGAATATTTTCATTAACTGGTATGAAATGCTATCCGGATAAATTAAGTTTTCTCCCTTTATCAGTTGATGTTTCTAAAAATTAACACAAGGTTGGAGAAACAGGGGAACAAATCATATTTCAGTCTTTTGAAAATGGACTCAAAATCATCATACAATTCATTTTTAATATGAACAGATTTTTACAGATCTTTCCGATGTTAGGCTTTTCCTGAATACTTCATACACATGATATATGTAGTATACGACTTGCAAAAAGAAACAATGAGAGTAGTACAGAGTATTTCATCATGAAACTGTTGTCTGAAGGGGGAATTTATTGCAAAGATGGTTGTTTGAACCCATAATTATATATTACAATTTTTAAATTGTATGATATTCAGAGGTTTTTTGGTTTTTTTGTTGTAATTTGCTACTTAAAACACTCAATGAATGAATGTGTGACCAAAGTGTGGCAGATTTTTTTTAACAGGAACGGATCAAATTACCGATTCATATGCATATAAAAATATATGTGGGGGTAGGAGGGGGTCTCAAGAATATGAATCCCAAATTCCAAATTCCCATGAAAATAATGTATCCCGTTCCCGAAAAAAGGTCCTTGTACCCCTCTTGTACTAATTTGAAAAAAAATAATTAGGACAGAGATTACTTTTCATTAAATTTAGAGAGGTTGGATTTCTTTAATAGATAGAAAAATATTGTCCAGACATAGTTACCTGCCTAGAAAAGAGTGAAAAACATTTACTGTCAATAATGCAGTACTTAATTTCCTTTTTTAAATCATTCTGTAATGAATTTACATCAAAATGTTATGTACAAGTATGAAGGCTCAATAAAGAAACTGAATTTCACCCTCTAAAAATGCAAAAAATTCAGACATAACCAGGGGAATGACTCTTATATTATTTCTTCTTGGGAAGGGGGGGTTATTGGAAAAACATTTTCACCATGATTTTGTTGAAAATAAATAATTTGCTGCAGAAGGTTAAGGAAATAAATTATATATTAACGTCAGATTTTAGCTCAAATCCCCTTACATGAAAACTATAAATTTAAATCAGCCTATAGCAAAAATAAATAATTTAACCCTGATGGCCTGAAAACATTGAAAATTAATATTCGATCTCAAAATGTTCCTAGCTCAATCCCCCCTTTTCCCCAGAAATCAAATGGTCCTCTTGAAGTTTATCTACGTGTATATGTTAGGAGAAAGGGAATATATTTACCTGTTTCTATGTTGATGACCTCTGTCGTCTCCAACCGGTATGCCTTGCAGACTCTCTGAGAGGCACCTCTGTCGTCTGTTGCCTTGCTGAAAAAACTGAATGTTGTAGGTAGCAACATTTCAGTTTAGGCTTCCTCTCAAATAAATGCCAATAAATAGTCTCTGTGTTTCTGGCATATGGTTAACTGAAGCAATCTAGCATCAATGTTAAAAAATCCAGTGCGATATGAAAATAAGTAATCCTAAAAATCCGGGCCAACGGTTCACTTTGACTTCTTTCCAGACACTACAGTCCAATCAAATGTATATGTGTATAGATATAAGAAGATGTTGTATGAGTGCCAATGAGACAACTCTCCATCCAAGTCACAATTTGTATAAGTAAACCATTATAAGTCAAAGTATGGCCTTCAACACGGAGCCTAGGCTCACACCGAACAGCAAGCTATAAAGGGCCCCAAAAATGACTAGTGTAAAACCATTCAAACAGGAAAACCTACGGTCTAATCTATATAAAAAAACGAGAAACGAGAAACACTTATGAACCAATCAACAAACGACAACCACTGAACATCAGGTTCCTGACTTAGGACACGTGCAAACAAATGCAGCGGGTTTAAACGTTTTAATAGGCGCCAACCTTCAACCTACCTGAAACAATAGTGTAACACCACAACATAGAAAGACACACTATAAAATATCAATTGAAATGTCTTAACTCAATCAAAAGACATATTTACCAAAACAAGTGAACATACACTGAACAAATAAATTTAATCTATGAAACAATGTAAATACAAAATTAATAAAACAAGGGGGTTAGATGTAAAACAATATCAGAAAGACAACCAAAACCTTGGACAAAATGCGCGTGTTCTTATTACACAATGAACTAGGTATTGTGTCATTTCATAATTTGTGTATTTCCAACCAGAAATACCAATAAATATGAGAAGTCATATTTCTTGTTATATTCTCCATGACAGAAAACTTATGGGAACATTATGTTTTCAAAATGGAGAGTGTAAATAGGGGGAGATAAATCATAGAACGCCTGTGACTGTTTTTCCCCTTTTCATGAGATTTTTTGGCAATTATACATAAAAATAAGTACATCATGCATGTAAAATGTGTCATGCAATAATTGCATGTTATTCAGGTCCTAGGTTAATTTATAGCTTAGGGTTAAAGTGTTTAAATTAGAATTTAAATGATTCGGAAATTTATCAAAATTTAGGATAGTTAGATGCAAAATTTAATATCTTTATATTTTAACAATACTCAATAGTCTATTCACTGACACTTATTTCACGAAAATAATCATGCCACTTTATAAGATTGATGGATTCAAACTTCCTCCAAAATTCACTGTGGCCTACAAGACCTTCTATAATACCCAGGCCCCATACAGAAGAATCATTGAAAACAATTATTTCCAGAAATGATTGATTTTTTCTATGAAGGTCATTTTTAGCAAATATAATCTTTAATGGCTAGTGACACTGTTAAGATTCAGAGTTTACTTAGTTGAAACTATACACATTTTTCACTTACATTGTGATTTAAAGGCATGTATGCAAATGATGCTGTTTATAAAGATTGGACACGATGCAACTAAGTCTAAGAGATATTTTTGCTTTTCCTTTATATATAAGATCAAAAATATAAAAAAAAAATTCAAAAGTTCCGACCTGCTATTTGGACAATATTTTGTAATTTTGCATGGTTTTCTGGCAGACTGGCTCTTCAAAACTAAGTATGGAGTAATTCACCACATGTGTACATAAATTTCAATACTTTATCACAACTTGTTCACTATATATGCCCGTCTCTGTAGTCGCGTTGTAGATTCCAATAAACGTTATTTATGCGTAACTTGTAAATTATTAAGTCAGGTATTTCGTTATCACAAATCAATTAAAACTGTTACTAAAGTCTTCCACAGATACAAACATTTGGTGAGAAAGTTTGGATCAAAAATATTGAATGAGATTTTGTAGTAGAGAAATACTATCGTTCAGTATCATACACAAAACTAAATCAGAAGGTTTTAAAATACGTTTCAAAATTTCTAAATGATCTCATAATAAAACTAATGACTGAATTTTCCAAATTATACTGAGTCTCATAACTTTAAAATTCTACATCATACTCCTGATGCTTGTTGAGACTGGGATGGTGCACTTGCTGACTTTGTAGTATCTTTGATTGTAAAGGGTATTGGTCCTTATGGTTAAAAACTTGAACAATTGCATTCAAAAGTAGAACATTGTTTGTCCTTGATCTTTTACTAGAAGGTGCTATTTTGACACATGTCATCGTAATTGTGTTAGAATCAATAGCTAAAACTACGGTAAAAAGCTCTAATAATAAGTTCTCCTCTACCGCATGTGAGGTTTGTTGGATGTACGCTTGCCACTAGATATTTTGATGAACTCTACAGTAAGTTTCGAGCTTCTGTTGAGAACTTTACGACGAGAAAGAAATACTTATATTTTAAACTCCTTGTTTTATGTTGGGTTATCACCTGCATTAGCATATTTATTTCACCCGGATGATACAATATTCCGACGAATCCTGTGTGTTCTATCATGATTTCGTCGATACAGGATTGCATGAAACTTCCAAACTAAGAGTTATAGTAAACCTGTAGTCTTGTTTATAGTAAACCTGGTTCATTTCTGGAAACAATAAACACTCTTAAGATATAAATGTCATACATTAGACAGAAACTGCAAAAAAAAAAATTTTATAAATCAAGCAGTTGATTTTTTCGTTAGAATTATTTCACATTTTGTCAAGTAGATGCCCTTTATAAATGGGATAGGTTTAGCTCATTGTTCAAGGTTGTCATTAGGAAGCTGGAGGATAGTTGACTCTCATTAACTTATACTGTAGTCATATGGTAAAAAGATTTGATTATACAATCCATGATGGAATATCTAAGTCAAAGCTGACGTACGTTGTTTTCATCTGAAATGGCTTTTAACGTTTTTTATACTAATGAGTGACTTTGGTTATTTTGCAGTTTTCTTGAAATGTTTCATCATTGATATCGTAAAAGCCATTGTTATTATGGATTCCAGAAAAAAACGACGAAAATGATTGGGTATCTTATAAGTATATAAGTACTATTTACCTGTTAAAACATTAATTAACAGTAGCAGTGTGTTTGGATTATCAAGGTTTTCTATTAGGCTCATCTTATGGTATTGGGTCTCTGCCCATTGATAAATTTCAAGCGCTGGGAAGATGTGTAGATATTCTCATGCTTTTACTGTTTGGTAAACAGTAACCATATTGGTTATCGTACCACATCTTCCTATCTTTTATATTGTCATTCAAACCCATGGTCAAATACCATAGAGTCATAATTTTACTGATTTGGTTGCTAGATATGTTCATCTACTATTTGATTATATTGTCCTGTATGCATTTTATGCTGTGTTAGCTTCAGCTTGATCTGCAATAAATATTCGTCCGAAAATCATTTACAATCAAGCTGTCGAAAAATGGATTTTTAATCTCAATTCAAAGGTCGTCTGTCTTATGAGGTCGTTTGATTGTACCTTTTAACTGCACGGTATTTCGTTTTTAAAAATGAAAAGTACACAATGCTTGTTTTCTACACCTTTGTAATTTTCAAGCGATACTGCAATGTATGCAAAACTGGGAATAGTGCATGCTTTTACAAGCTTTCGTGTTGAAATAATTGAAGGGTTATACTCACAGTCGATCTGTTTTTCTTGTCTGTTAAACTGTGCTTAGAAAACTCACACGGAGGCCTTTTGGTCAATTGCATACGTTCCAAATCAGGCAGAATTCTAGTGTCTTTCTGTTGATGAGAAAGAAAACAAATGTATCTAGGTAATTATCTGGCCTAAGTTCATATTCCCAGAAAACAGTTAAACAAGAGGCTGTCAGAGAGACAGCAGACCGGATTTTCCTGCAGAGGTCGAACCCTGAACAGTTGAGCAAGTATGGACACTACATTTAAACTTAAAACAGCTCTGAATTTAGATTGTGATTGAATATTTGACACAAAATAAATGTAGTCAAAGAACTGATATATTTGAAATTGGACATTTGAATACCTATTATGGTTAAATATCCAAAATCTAAGTACATATTAGTATCAGCATATCAAAGAACCCCAAGAATTCAATTTTTGATAAAATCAGACAAAAGTTTAATCTAGGACCCTTTGGACCTCAATGTGGACCAATTTGATAAAGGACCCACAATCCAAAATCTCTCAATACATGGTTAGATTCAGCATTTCAAAGAACCCCATAAATTCAATTTTTGTTGAATCAAACAAAGTTTAATTTTGGACCCTGATTTGGACCAACTTAAAAATTGGGCCTAAAAATCTAATATTTAAATAGAGTTTAGATTCAGCATTTGAAAGAACCCTATATATATATTTAATTTATGTTGAAATGAAACACAGGTTAATTTTATCCATAATATTTTCTGTGCAAATGGAAATAACTCAAACTGGATAAATAGTTCTCTAAAATAAGATATGATGCAATTTTTCAAATTATTATCAATAACATAATAACAACAACCAGTGATGACTAAGTTCTCTAAAATTAGATATTATTTAAAGTACCAGTCTGCCTAAGAATCAGGCAAATTCTAAAAATTTCAAAACATGACATATTTCAAATATTCATCTCTTCCACAAAATATGTTACCTTTAGTCAATCAAATTAGAACTGTATAATCAAATTTTAGAAAATCAATTGCAGTATTAGGTATTAGCACCTCGAAGTTCTATATGTTTTACTCTTATCCTATGTAAATTCAGGCAATTTCAATTCAAAATAATTTTTATTACCAAAACCGCACAATCACAATGATTGCAAATATAAATACTAAGCAAATAGAAATTTCAGGTTTAAGCCTTCGTCTCGCTGGTTTTTTTGTCTGCTCGTCAAAATGCCATTCCAAAGATTCTGTTGCTTTGTTCATGTAAGAACACAATTTACAGAGTTACTTCCCCTAGCGGAACTCTTTTGATGTAAACAACACTGATGTCATGCATGTGGCAGACAATATTGAACTGTAGTTTTTCAATCTTTTTCTGACGATGAATGTGGGGATTCACAATATTCTAAGGATGAAAAGACAACACGCCAATTGGACAATGTAATAGAACTGTTGAACCACTTCCCTAGAACTTTGTTTTTCTAAAACACCAACAAACCCTAGGAATATGCATGAGATTATTAAAAGGAATGTTGGTTGTGCCCAACCGTCTCACAAAGGAAGGATCAAAGCCAGACAGAGCAGTTTCCATCCAGATGAACAGGGCCTTTTTTCTCTGTACTACAGAAACACAAGGTACACTATTTACATATATATTCAAAAGATTGTTTTGATTATACATCATTCTCCTCCCCCTTTATATATTTTATTGAAAGTGGTCTAGGTTCTACATGAATATAAAAAAGGGGGGGACTCATATTTTGTTTTTTGGCTGTGTTTTTCTGGTAGATTGACAAGTAAACAGCTGGCTTTTTTTCTCATATTTTATAAAGGATGTTTAGAAAAAATGATAATAATGCCAAAAATTAACTGCGGAACTGTAGTTTTTAGGATGGTCCGCAAATAGTCAAAAAATAACACAAGGACCTAAGAGCTACAGTTCCGCAGCTAGCCAAAAATATGAGTGTGTACTAAACTGAAGGAGACCCCTGAAAAATGGATTATTGCCCTTCCAAAGGAAGGTTCACATGCAATTCTTTAGCAAATGTTCAAGGTTTCATAAATTATGGTGCATTTAGGCATAAAAAGATAGCACCAGTGTTTCTACAACAGCCGAAAAGAATTAGGTTAGATAGGTAGGAAAATGGTTTTTTTTTTTAAAGTTTTTGACTGGTTTAAAAAGGGGAATTTATTTGACGCAATATAAATAGGGCTTGTTCAAAGCTTACAGAAATGTTTATACTTGGTTAGGTTATCGAAGGAACAACTAATTTTTTTTAAATAGGCCTTCAACAAATTACAGAAATAATTTTTATTTGATGATTTATTAAACCGTACCTTATTGGCTTAATTGGAGGCATATATTGTTTTGATCAGTGCTATTAAAAAATGACAAGAAAAACTTTGCGATGTACTGTACTGAAGGCGTTTTTAATCATAAAATAAAGATCAGTATTTTTAGTACTTCAAACACACATGTACACATTTTTGGTTTGCCTTATGCCAATTACCATATTTATAATTTTTGAATGTACCAAAAAAAAATTAACGCAAAGTCCTTGAAACTCTAGCTCTCAGGGGTTAAAACATGCATTGTATTCTGCATAACCTGTACTTAGGGAAATGATTTTTCTCAGTTAATGTTATTTGCAACTCATTAAATTGGTCTAAAGTAAGAGCTTCAAAGAAATTTGTATTGTCTTAATAAATTATATCATTCATTCATATACATGTATATATTTTTATCAGACTTAATAAATTTGAAACTTTTTCTTCAGGGATTTGCTGAATTGCAGATGTGATTTGTAAAGACACATACCTTTAATATTTGAAAAGACTATTGCACATGTTGCACTGAAGAGGTAAAATTAATTGAATTTAAATATTTTATATACCAGTAAATTCCAGTAATTGATTGTTTACTTCAACCCATCCCCACTGGGTCCATATTTTTAGGTGAAATATTTTTTTGTACATGATTTTGTGATTTTAGAAATAGATAAGAATTACTTTAGCTACAAGATGTTTTTTTGCATCGGGATGATCCCCATCCACAACGGGACAGCTCATAGATTTCCCCGTCGGTATGCAAATGCTGATTTACAAAATGATTTTTGCATATTGGTTCAGTGTTGAGCAAGTGGTGAATTTATCTTATGATATAAGATATGTACATGTATATATGTTATAACAAGAACTAGGTGAACATGACCTACATTTTCTGCTGGATCTACTTCAGTAATATTTTGACAATGCTTAACAAGAGTTTAGCCGATATCACCTACACATGTATTGTCAACAACATCGTGAGTTTTTTGCATGTACAAAAATCATGCATTTCCTTTCCCTACTCAAAACATATTGGTGTTTAAAAAATTTTGATTAGGTCAGTTTGAGTGAAACTACTAATAATAAATAAATATAATTTGATATAAAGATGTATTAGCATTCAATTTGATGCATCTTCTATCCATGGAGATTATTTGGCCCTGTCCTCTTACTGTAGCCCCAAGTCATGGTCTATTGATCTTGTCATTTTAGCAATGTTTACATTTTAAAGTTTGTGATTACATGTATATTAAGATCAGTTAACAAAGAACCACTTATGATAAGTTAGTTTTATTTAAAGGTTGGAATGCCTTTTACCATCAGGCGTCAAACGGTCATTTTCGGCTACCGTTAGCGTCAAATTGGTTAAAATTTTACCGTGATTCATCATAATATCCTTATCGTGATTCGTTAGAGGCCTCAAACAATTATTGTTACTGTTAATTTCGGAAATCAAAGCTAATTACGTTGAAAGAGTGATCAAGACTATTAAATCAAAAATTATTAGATTTATCACCAGTAAGCAGTCATATGACTATGTGGATAACTTACAGAATTTTGCTAACAGCTACAACAAGACCTTCCATAGAACGATTGGCATGGCACCAGATAAAGTCACCCTATCTAAAGAGACAAACCTGTGGTGGAAAATGTATTGGCCAAAAAGATTACAACCTAAGAAAAAGAATGTACGAAAACCTTTCCGTTTCAAAATTTTCAAAATCGGTGATAAAATTCGGATTACATACATAAGAAATCCTTTTACCAGGGAATACGATGAGAAATGGAGCGGAGAGATATTTAGAATATCTCAAAGAATATTACGTTGTGGGCTTCCAGTTTATCGACTTATTGATTTTCAAGACGAAGAAATTTCAGGAACCTTCTACCAATCAGAAGTGCAGAAAGTGGATGTTCGGGAAGACGATATATGGAAAGTTGAAAACATCCTCAATACAAAAGGCAAAGGACCCAACAAGCAATATTATGTTAAATGGTTACACTGGCCAAAGAAATTCAACTCTTGGATTAAAGCTCGCGATTTATCTGATATTTGAGAGAGTTAACTATCCCGGAAAGACTAACTTCAAGTCTCGACAGTTTACACCCCTGCATGAAATATAGCATACTGTTGGCCCTTTCGTGAGGTTACAGATACTGTTGAGTGATATGCAACTCTCTATTTCTTTTTATCTCGATGTATAAAATAATCATAGATAATTTTATTCTTTATATATATTGTAAAGACAACATGTGGATGGCTCCCCGACCCATGTCTGTCTGAATTGACGGGGATATTAAATATTGTACAAATTATTGTTGTTATCATTACTAGTGTGGTATCGAGAAGTAGAAACTTAAAAAAAAAATAGGAATACAATCACACAAAAGGAGAATCATATTGGATAATTCCTTGCTCATATTTGTATGGATTAAACCTTGAATCGATACACACAAACACACACACACACAAACACACACACACACAAACATACACAAACACTAACAATGATAAACACCGGTGCATCGTTTATCAATAAAACCTATTGAAAGTTAAAACACGCTATCGATATTGATTGAACAATTATATTATAAAATTCGAGATTAAATACCTTTCAAAATTTCACCTCAGAAATAGTTAGATGTAAAATACTATTTTGTTCCATTAATGTAACGATTTACTTATATTAAAATAAAATGCTTCGCTGGGCGCAGCTTGATACGACCGCAGAGGTCGAACCCTGAACAGTTGGGGCAAGTATGGACACAACATTCAAGCTTGATACAGCT